TTCATTTCCATCCAATACAGTCTAATACTTCTTGTTTTTTTTGATGCACGACTCGTTATGTGCACAGTTATATTGTAAATAAATAGTCGCATCTTTAACGTTATTTAACATAAAGTCGTTAAGCGAAAACTAGTAAAATTTTTTATAAAAATAGAATAAGAGAATTAAGGCGAGTGAAGTAACATTATTAATTAACGAACATTTTATCGTTCAACAAGTTTCATTTTTTTTTTAATAGTTTAAATATGATAAATTTTATTTATATATTTTTAAATCTATATATTAGTTTTATCTATATATAATCAAAATCCATTGCTTGGAAGTACTTTATTATATTATACCTTATTACATTATTTCATGTCTATTTGACGTAAAATTCTTTAATTAGGAAGAAAAAAGATAATTATTTCTAGACCGATTTTGTATATATTTGTATACATATTAACATAATGCATGACATTAATTGTGAATGATAATCAAAACTGATTGCGCATTTAAATCAAGTGTGTTAAAAAACAATATGTGTCGATTAAGAATAGCATGTTCACATGTAGATGTTTCACGCACGAGGACATTTTAGCTTTTATTATAAATCATTAGATTAGTACCACTCTTGCACCATCTTTCAATTTGCACAAACAATTATTCTATTACCGTGCTTTTGGTGTTTTTATGGCTTTGCAATGATTTTTCACTTATATTATCGATTGAATGATATACAAGCAACAGATATATGTGACAATAATTTTCTTTTTAGGGAATCCACAAGGTCGACCTTGAAGCCGTACTTATCAGTGCAACAACGATCTGCAACATTGCCAGCGAACGCCAGTATGGGCAAGTGATCCTGGAAGAGACTAGCACTGGCGATTTTTAAAAAACTCCGCTTACGATCTGATGTCCCACTATCTTCGATAACGAGTGGAAATATCGAGCCGTCGTAACCAACTATCACGACCTCGCGATTTTCTCTACGCACCTGACGACCGCAGTAGACTGTCAATAATTTCCTAGATTGAGAGCAATCGAAATAGCGATCGCGATCGTAATATTACTATTTGCAGCTAAGAGTAAGTGTGAAATCCAAGTTTGAGAATCGCTGGAGAAAACAGGGTTACTTATATACCGGATGATAAACGGATATGATATGGGAGGGAAAATAGTCTTTTCGCGCGCCATCGTCGTTCTCGGAACGATAACATAGAGTCACAGAGATGAGCTGTGTTCTTCGGAATTCTAGATAGTTTATTCGTGAGCGACGATAAAATAGTGTAATAATCTTTTTGTACATTGTATTCATCATACTCACGATAGACTGTAGAATATTCTTTCGAAGGATAATCGAATTTCTGTGATGATTTTCCTGATTGGAATTATACTCGACTTTGTACGCACATTTCTTACTGCCTTTGATAACGTGTAATGTGAATCTTGATGGAAACTTTTAGCTTAAGTCATTTTTTGGATGCTTTAAACCGAAATTTCGGAAACTTGTATTAAAGAGTATAGTATTTTGAAATTGTTTTATATATATATATATATATATATATATATAGAACGTTTTCCGAGACCGTATGTGTCAGTAGATACACACATGATTCTTGTTTTTAACATAACTTGCGTCTTAAAACGGATTTATTTAATGTCTGATATTTGAAGTGTTTCTGGACAAAGTTATGTTTTTTCGAGAAGATATAAATAACTGAACACGCGTCCGAGGATTAACGTTTTAATCAAAGTTTGGCACGTGAGTCGGTTCTGCGGACATTGCAAAAAAGAAACAATACGCTATTTGCAAAATTGACCACAGCGTATGGCGCGTGTAAGGAATATGCGAGTGCCAGCTTTTCTATAGTAAACATTAGAATGATTATGGCTGTAAGATAATGGGGTTCCTACAATAAGTTCATTATCTAAGCTTCAAGTCTTAAGCTATAAGTAATTGACTAATCATAATCGATTATTCTTTTCACATTTAACTGTTATTGGTTAATGTCTTATAATTTAAAATTAATTAAGATAATTTAGCTTATTGTAGGAAGCCCATAACAATTTTTATTATGATGATATATATAAGCTAATGATGTCCGCTGAATCCTGACAGAGAGAATCAAAGACAAAGAGAGAGGGAGGAAGAGAAAGAAAATGCTAAGAGAGGACAAACTGAGAAAATCATGCGTAATTGAGAGGGAGCGATAAAAGCGATAGAAGCTTTGTCATGGTGCCATCGGTTTTGCCATCTTTGGCATCAAAGAAGGTTATAAACAAGAAATAAGAGGAAAACTAGGAATGATCTTAGGTTTATTATTAACGCGTCATTGCCGTCTGTGTTCTTTCTAAAATACCTCCGCGAGACATCGTGCCGCGCCGAGACTCGTCGGTATGAAAAGAGCCGCTTACATCGACATTAGTCAGCTAACTACAGTTATGATTAAGTTAAATTCTTCTTCTCCAAAAATTAAACTTATAGGTATAAGCAAATAATGATTATATGTGTTTTTTCTCTTCCAGAGTTGGAACCTGGAAAGAGATTCGTCTATATTTCTAGGAAAAACTAGGAAAAGTTTTACTTTTTTTCTACAGAAACGATATTTCAATTAATTTTAATTTATGGATGATTTAGTGGAGTCAATGATCAGACTTGAATTAAACAATAGAAGAAATAAAAGAAATAAAAATAAGGCTAGTGCTCAGCATTTATTATAGCAAACTTTGAATTAATTAAAAAAGTATTTCTATTTATAGATTATAACTACAATTTTTTAAAATCTTTATTTGAATTATAACTAGAATTAAATACAGAATGGAGAGTTGCTAAATGAAGGAAATAGTTAACTAAATCTTGTCGGTGTAAGTGACTCCAAGAACTCAGCGAGATGTCCCTCAAACGGTGCTCCTCCCTGTCCTATCCATCCTTTTGGTTCGATGCAGTGAGAATGAACAAGAAGCTGTCGAAAGCTTCTTGTCGCGGTGGTAATTGAAATTAAAAGTACGAGGGAAAGAAAAAGAAAGGTGCATATTAAAATCGAAAAAAAATACCATCCGATATACTGCCCCGTGCCTTCTTCATTGTTTCGGTCCTTCATGAGGCGGAACTAGAAGAAAATTGACAATGAGAAGGAGAGAAAGTGTGAAAATGAGAACGAAAATGTGAGTGAATGTGTGTGTGTGTGAGAGAGAGAGAGAGAGAGAGAGAGAGGGAGGAAGAACTTGTTACAGCATATTTTATTATTGTTTAGTTATTTACAATCTGTATATTATTAATATTACGATTAAAAGTATTTTGTAGATAATATGTGGCTCTCTTTGATGGTACTTTATGATCACTGACTGCGCAACTTTCAGTTCAATTTTTTGCGATAATCATGTTTTTAAAGCAATTTCCCCTATTTTTTAAATATTATTTCAATTATACTACGATCGGTGGCTTAAAAGCTGTCTTTGTTCTTGATTAACCATGGGCGAGTAGAATTTGTCTCATAGAATTAATCGAAAGTCCTATATACTGACAATCTTATAATGCAATATTGTCGTAATCGAGAGTGGGTCTTAAGAAAGTCTCCAACATGCAATTAAGAACTATAAACTCGCTATATCATCTTTCTTTATCAGGGTTGCCACAGAGTTAGAACAAAAAAAACTGGGAAAAGTCATGGAATATTGAAATTGGTCATAGAAAACTAGGAAAAATCTGGTTTTTGCTCACAATTTCTTTAAACTGCTCCTATTTCAAATAAATGTTACAATTTTTAAAATATTATATCTGACGTTTATAATCAAATACGTTCAAAACTCGCGCACTTTAAACGATTTTAATAAAATAATTAAATTCATATTTTACTCAGTATTTTTATTTGATCACCCTTTTTCGTCATAATTGCATTCTTTTTTCCAATACTAATTAATTTTTTGTTGGCTTGAAATTGTACCTAAAATTTGATTATGCTACTAAGCTTTTTTGCGTTATTTTTAATAATATAGTCATATATATATATGTATATATATATGTATATATATATAATAATAATATAGGCTTATATATAGACTTTAATAATATAATTTTCCCTGATTCTAAATTAAAATTTACACATCTTATATTGACCACAAAAAAATTTTCATTTTCAACTGGAAAACCTGGAAAAATCAGGGAATTTTTGAATTCATTTTCTGTGGCAACCCTGTTTATTTTCAATGAAACTTTCTCACTCCAGTTGAATAATTTCGATATTTTTGAAAAAGATGTTGGCAAGCTGGATACTCTCAATTTTAATCTCATTTGTGAAAACAATTTTTGAAAGAGATGTTTTTCTCAAAACACACGCATGGATTATATAATCTCAATGCAACCGGTAATAAATGATATACAATACTAAAATATATGAAAGACAGTTAAGTAAAATTTAAGTAATCTATTTTTGCAAATTTAGCTAGAAATTGATCAAGGATCTAAAGATAACAATTTTTTTTAGAGCATTACAAATTTTTACGTATATGCATTAGTGTACGAATGTTTATTCCACATTTAAAATAAATCTATATTTTTCAAGTTAAATAATCTGTATTATACGGATAAATTGAGGATCTAAGAAACGAAGTTAACTGCAGCTTAAATTCGTTATAATTTATTTCATCTACATTTGAAATCCTGCGTGTGAACGAGATCATGTGAGACCAGCATGCAAAAATAATACGATGCAAGAATCGAATAATCCATATCAATGAATAATTTTGATTTCGAATTCCAGGTCATCTTCATATTTAATCGTCATGCATAAATTTTGTGAACGGTGTACTCGATCAAATATCTCTATTCAATTACGCTTTCGTAGTTGCTCTATATATGGACTAATCGCTTTTTGCATACTAGATCACCTATTTGGATATGTAACGCGGTTTTCGTTCTCCACGGTCGTTGCATTCTCTTCACCTCCACATTAGCGTTTACCTTTTTTCTACTTTCCCGTGCGCGCGCATTGTGTTATTTAAGAAAGTATATTGACTTTCTTTGTCGTTCGCGATAGATAAAAACTTTATTTATCATCTTACCGATATCTCGTGCAATCAAGCCGGATGGGACGATGAATTTTACACGTGAGGGATTTGTTTAAGCAACTGTGACGGCTTCTATTGGCGGATCTAGAGATCTACCGAAGCAAGGGTATACACATCCGAATATATATTTATGGAATTATTAAATTTATAAATTTACGGATGAATTTATAAGATACAGAAAATTGTTGTTCAAAATACTCTACACGCAATTAAATTAACACGATTTTACGAAATATTTAACATCACATCAACGCACACGTGAATGACTTATATTGGACGACCGGAACGAAGCGCTCTTTAAGCACCACGTGAAATCTCGATACGGCAATAATCTGATATAAATCTTCGTTATATGTACAATACAACAGAGAAGGGATCCGTTCTCGCTAATGATACGCTATTATTTAAAGGCGAATAATCGATACACTCGTAAACACATGCATGCATGTCACGGGTCGCGGGACATAATCTGACATGAGCTTAGGGGCCGAGCGAATACAGACGAGGAGAAAGAGAGAGATGGAGAATTTCAAACGGTAGGATACAAACGAAGAATCGTTGCTTTGTTCGCTTATGCAATACGTACATACGTAAATTTCTATTTCCACGTGCTTAACGACAATTAATCAAGCTGTAAAAATTACAAATTCAAGGAAAGATACTTGCTGCTCTCCCTTTATCAGAATGGGAACGATTCCATCTTATCAAAGCTGTTTGTTACGTTTTTTTCAGAGTTTTCGAGCACGCACACCACGGCTTCTAACGCAATCATTTTTTTCTTCCAAACAAAGTTTTCGTATATCATCTTTCTTGAAAAAGAGATTTTTGATCCTCTTTCTTCCGAAGAAGCTTTCTTCATTTTTTTCTCTAATGAAAATTCCGTTCTCAGCTATCGAAGAAAGTTTCTTCATCTCCTCTTTTTTACCTTTTTTTTTTCCGAAACAAGTTCTTTTTCTTTTTCTTTTCTCAAAAGAAAAATTTATCCATTTTTTTTTCTTTCTTCGCTTTTTCACGTCTCTAAAGCTCGTGGTGCCCCTCTACGCTCGGAGTTTAATTTCTGACGAGACTGCGTAGTCTCGTAGCGAAGGATTATTTTCTTACAAGAGCAACCAAACCGCGATTTAAATGCGTCAATTTCGGTTTCATCGACAGCTTCGTCGGAGCTGGAGAGGATTGCTGATGGTTCCGGCTTGCCGCCTGCTGCATGTTTTGATGTTTCTTCTTCAACGATTCCTGTTTGGCACCTCTGCATAATGAAGTTATAATTGTTAATATTTTTTCTTTTTTTCAATTACTATATTTTTTATGTTAATGTTAAAATTTACGATCAAAATTTTGCTAATAAAAATATGCTTTTTACAAAAACAGAAGTTATAATAAGTCAATAAATAAATTTTGCATATATCTTTATTAAGTATGTAAATAATTTCGTGAAAATCGAAGAAAACAATTAATTAAAGAAAAAAAAAAGAAATTTTAATATATTGTTTTTACGAAAGAATGTTATAAAAGGTCCTTAGATTATAAATTTTAGAACTCACAAGTATCGAGTGAGGTCTTCCACATCAACGAGCATTGAATCTTGCTCCATATGCAAATCGTCTCTCCTCAAAAGACCTTCGACGAGCGCTTCGTTTAATGCGGCAATTCTCGCGTGCAAATCATTTGCTACTACCTGCAGCTGCGCGACATTTAACTCTGTGAGAAGTACACGGGACAACCTGCGTCTGTCCTCTCCCAGCTGTACACCGACCTGAAAAAATGTGCAACATTCAAAGCTTTATCAAATAAAAAAGAAAACAGATCTCGGAAAGGAATCTCGAACGGCGTATTAAGCCGGACCGAATCAAAATCGGAACCGAAAACCGTTTCGGAGCCTTTTTTTTTTTAATGAACCGAAACCGAAACCATACCCAAATTTTGTATAGTTTATAATACCGAAACCGTAACCGAGCTGTTAAAATTTCATGGTTTTTTTCGATTCTTTTTTCAGTTTTTAATTTTTGGTCTGCCCGTTTCTTCGTTCAAATCACCAATGTTCAATCCAGTATTACCATCGTCAGTTCGCTTAATAATCAGAATGTAAATATCTCCAACACTTCATATGATATAAGAAATCTGGCGGGATCGCGAGACATATTTAATGTAAAATTTTTTTAAGATACTAGCATTTCTTTTATTTAGATCTTTCTCACCAACATGTTACAAGAATTGATTCTAAGTAATGAAATTCAAGAATATGTAGATTTTTTATGTAATAAATGAGATCTATCCATAAGAATCAAATAAGTTGTAAGAAAGGACTGAGAGAAATATGCCTAAAATAATGTTTACGTAATTTTTATTCACGTGATCAATCGACGCCTCTTTTCAACTAGACTTTCTAGATTGAACGGGTGAACACGCTCTCTCTCTCTCTTTCTCTCTTTCTCCTCCCCCTCTCCTTCCTTCTTAATAGAACAAATTTAAAGAATAAATAAAATAAAGCAAGTAGAACCGAAAAAAAATCGTTAAAAAACCGTAATTTTTACGGTTTCGGTTTTTTTATTGGTAAAAAAAAACTGAAACTGATATCGGATCATTTATTTGATATTTTATTAAACCGGAACCGGAACCGAATCGAAAAAATCTTTCGGTCCGGGTTCCTGATTAAGATTACATTACAGAGAGAGAGGTTCTACAGACAAAATAAAATACTTGTAGAATAAAAGTATGTTAAACATTAAAATTTTTTTCATTTACTGGTCTAAAGAGTCATAGATGTAATTGACATATCTAATCAATAAATTGAAAAATTAGAGTAATTACGTTTATTTTATACACACACATATATATAGTATATATTTTTTCATTTAGATATGTCTATTTAAATTTCATGAATTTATCTTTTTTTAATCCGAAATGTCATATTAATCTTTTTATTATAATAGTGATTAATTTACAGAAGTACTTATAATGTGCATGCATTGATGCATGTTCTGTTAGCTTTTTTTATTCAGAATTTTTCTACCGTAAATAAAAAATGGAGTTTATACATGACCTAAAGTATTGTTAATCAATAAATTGAACTCTACTTACTTTTTCTAAACTGCATCGCACCATCTCGGTGATGGGACTCTGTTTCAACCTCTGTCTCTCCACTTCCATTTGCATGTGTGCCATTTCCTTGGCCTGTGCTAGGGCCATTCGCGCTTCAGTTTGCAATCTAGCTTGCCGCGCAAAGAAGTCTGCCTCATCAATCGGTGGTGTGGAATTTGCACCCATATCAAGTCTTAGAGATGGCAGACTCAACATCTGTGGCCTCGTTGGTCCCTTCTGTTTTCCGCCAAATTGCTTTGAGCCAAGGGATGTAGGCGTAGATCCGGGAGATGTGTCATTCTCTGAACCCGGGGACTCTGTGTCCGATGATGTCTCATTCATGAAGCAGATCTGAAGGTTCATTCCTGTACAAGGCAAATATATTCTCGTGATTTTACTTATCGTTTAGTATTTTACTCATAAAATTTATAAAGGGATTGAACTAGTGATTAATTATCTTTATTTTTGCACTTATAGATAATATGTATTAACAACATTAAATATACATACAAGTATTTTTCTCATATATGTGCAAATAAAACCAAATAAATAAATAAAATATAATTTCTGTATATGTCGTCTATTAATAATTTGATGTCACTTTAAAGATTAATCATTTGCGCACTTTATCATTTATTTACTTAAGGTTCCTGAGTAGTCACTTCAGCCATATTGAATCGTGACGTCATAAGCGAGAAATAACGTTGATTTTTTTTGCATACCATTTGTAAATAAAAAGAATTTTGATGAAACCGAAATGATAATATCGCTTTTAAACTTGTAAAAATGGACGAAGACTCTCCTTATATTTCCCCTGATTTTCGTTCATTTTTACAAGTGTTTTAAAACGATCTCGTTTCATTTCATCCAAATTCTCTTTATTTACAAATGGCATGCAAGAAAACTCAACGTGTCGCTTATGACACTGTGGATGTTCACTAAGGAGACCTGACTCGAAGCTTTGTGTTCAGCTACAGCGTTTCGTCCTGGTTCCACCCCAGGTAGCAAGCTGCGTCATTTTGACGTCAGCTTGCTACCAGGGACACTACTAGACTCATCAGTAAGGCGATGTATTGTGGGACCTGCCTTAGACGCCTGGAATGAATCCAGAATGCTTTATTTAAAGGGAATTCGTGGCTACGGTGCTCACGCGAACCGAGTGAGTCCCGTGGACCTCTAGTGGCGAGTCGCCACAACACATTTCTTCGCTTATGACGTCACGATTCAATATGGCTGGAGTGAGTACTCAAGAACCTTAATTATTATTATATGATATTTGATAGAGAAAATTAAAATTTAGATCTATAAAAAATACGAACCACTCTGAAGACGCGATTGGAGACTCGGTTTTCGTCCACGTTCGGCGCGCAAATCTTCGGCATCAGGTCCCATCGCGAGTCTTCTTCTAATTTCTTCACGATCATTTCGTCGCTGCGGACATAACGAATAGATGATATGCGTTAATACGTTTTACATTTTGCATGTGGATGTTAATCATAAAATGCGATAAACATATAACGACTGTTGATAAATATTATAGCGCAATTCGAGAGTCCAAAGGCGCAAGTATGTTAAAATGTTTTGTACACTTAATTGTAATCATAGTTTACAATTTTTATATAGTTATATAGTCTTTAGAAAACATGCAGTTCTCCAGTTAATTAACTACGTGAATTAAAAAATTAAAATTGAAAAGTAGGAAGCATTTTTTTTTAAATGCAATAGGACATTCAAACTGACTTGCTTTCATGTTACAATTAATATAATTAGAAGTAAACAGTAGTATCATACAACAGTTATAAGTAATAATAATGTCATAAATTTATGATTGCTTTTGATGTCGAATACATGCCGCTACTCGAATCTCGCTAGAATTAGAGCTTTTACAAAGTGTTTTCCTCTCGCACGTTTGTCGAATTAATTCACACCTGCAGATCGTCATTAAGTTCGCCTCGTATAACTCTGTCGAATCGCGTAATTAAATCTTCCCTTTCGTAATCAGACCTTTCCAAATTCTCTCCTTTCTTTTCTTTCTCCTCGGTTTCCATGACCGGTTCCGAACGTTTATCCATTTCTGTGGTAGCTTTTTCTTCATTATCTTGATGCCACTTTTATATACACAAATTAATGCTTTTTACTTTTATGAAACGCGTAATACCCGCGGCAACATGATTTATTCTTTTACGAAGGGTGACAGATTTCCGTAGATTCGAAAATATTGAATCAAACACGTGTTACAATAATCGAAAATGGTATCTTCTCTTAAACATCTCTTAAACATCTCTTAAACATCTCCTAAAAATCATGGAGTGCTACAAAAATAATTCAGTATAGTTTTTAGAATTATAAAAAAATCTTAGCTCGAATTGCGAATTGTTTGATAAAGCCCTGTAGAATAAGATATAATTGCAATCGCAGCAAGGAAAACTTGCTTGCTAAAATCTGTTTGTTCATTAATAACGCGCGCTTCCGTGACCCACTTTCGCCTGTGTCGGTCCGGAACCGTACCGAATCGTGCGGTTCGACGACCTTCCTGTTAGATTAGAATGACAATACTAGCAGAAATCCGGAATTATTAAGACTCGGTTCCACCAATGTAAAATTGACTTTGATCTCGGTCCAGTTTACTCTTTATCTTTTTCTAGTCCTGGGAATTAAAAAAAGATAGACGTAAACTATATTAAATAAAAATATTGGCGTTTTCTATCATATTTGTGTATATAAAAATTATATTAAATAATAAGATAAATCTTATTGGTGGAACCGGCCCCTAAAGTTTGGGGCCTACATCCGAACATCCGACCCTGACATTCAGCATAATAATATTGCGGCCGTTCCCTGCACGTGCATGGTCACACACAAATGGAACACACGCACGAGATTAATTGAGAAATATTGTGACTCGTTATACATTTTGTAAATGAATTCTGATATATTCCTTTATATATATTAAAATAATTAACGTGACTCGTCAGATTCTGAGTAGTAATATTTTAAATATATCTGACGTTAAAACACTTAAAAACCATGCTGGTTGATGATCTCGCTTTTTAGTATTGAAATTAAATATGCAATGATAATTATGTTCACTTCAATAAAAATGGAAAAACACGATAACTTTGGTGAAATTGACGAATTATAATAATCAATAATTTCTTCTTTTTAATTTTTATTGAAATTTTTGTTAGATCAAGAATTTTACCATCCTCGACTATCATAGTACTTTTCCTCAAAATTATCAACAGAATTTCTTTCTTTTGAATCAATGCTATAACTTCATTCATTCACATTAAAGGTATTCCAACAAAAAATAAATATATAACAACATATTATATTAATCGATTAAAAATTTAAATAAAGATGTAACTTGTCAGATGTAATTATCTTTTTTAATGTACTATTTGAAAAACATTATAAAAAAGATTGATACGCTTAGAAAAGACACCTGGCTATATATAGCAATCAAAGTCGGTCTGTCACTTGGAAACGGAAAGAATGAAATACCTTGAACATGATACATTCTATACTCCCCAAGTCACAGAGCGGATTTAATTGCTCCAATTTTAACACGTCATTCATCAACGTCATTCAAACAATTTATATTTTCTCGCGTGACTCGCGTCTAAATTACATCTGATGTATGCTGTCGCCCTTCGTCCTTCACATCCCTTACACAATCCAAGTCGTCGTCGTAAGTAAATGTGTAAAGATCGGCGACAAATCTTGAATCCTTTTTGTAATGTTTGCGCGACTTGTTGCTGCTGCCCATGATCGCGCACTCTCGTTGTGCACCTCCCTATCCTGACAAACCAATTAGTTTCTTTTCTTGCAAAATTTATATATCTATCGGATGCTCGTCTTAAATTTCTCCAAGTTCTTTATACTACTCCTCCCCTTCCGCTGGCTTTGCGAACTCGCTTTCTCTCTTCTAGAGTTATCGTGGACAGAATTATAATCTAGAAAGGGAGTCGCTGATCGGACTCGGTCTAAGGTTGCAGAGGTGCAACTGATCTCGAGGATGAGCCACGAGGCTTGCACGCGCGCGAGACGAAGACGGCACAAGACTGCACGAGACTATATTACTGCAAAACGAGTCGAGCGATCCGAGATCTTTCGTTAAGGTTTGCTGATCGCGAAGGAGGCGTTCAATAGCGATGATGGTGGTGGTAGTGGCGGCAACAGCGGTTGTGGAAGTGGCTCTCTGTCTACTGGAGCCTAACATTTAGGAAGGCTTCTCACGGGGATTCTCGGTGAAAGTGCTCGACGAGAATGTGTTGGCTTATATGCGAGTCGACTATACGTTTCCGAGTTCACAATTCGCTTTGGAAAATGGGTATAAAGAGAATTGCATCTGATGCTGTCTTCAGCGGACGCCTACAATAGCTTTCGGAATGAATGGCTTGATGTGATGAGACACATTCCCGCAGTCCCTTTTAGGAGTAACACACTTTTAGATACAATAAGAAAGTTGATATACAAGTGTGTGTAATATCGATTTTACATAATACATTTTGTGCTATACGTTGTACATCATGTACTTTATGTATCTATTGTAGCGTATTGCTTACAATTGATACATTTGAATAATTTAATGAGCACAAACTGAACAATATATACCAAAAACAAATTTTTCAGAAAGTCTGAAAAACACAAAAGTGTAACATTTATAGTAAGAATATGCAAATTGTAATCGTCATCAAAATTTCTTTTTTATCGAGTTCAGTTGAGGATTAAGAAAATATTACAAAAATATAATTTTAAATCTCATTTATACATTGATATATTAAATTAGATTAACAAATTAATGTTTAAAAAAACACGTGTAAATACATTTCTAAATGATTTTATATCGCAAAAGATTGTGATCGATTTAGTTTGTCTTTATATTCTCGCATATTTCCTTTCGCATAGAAACAACGTGAATGTTATGCAACTACGATGTACTTCGCCATATAATAATCAGATGCACGAGAAAGTTATATACATTCAATTTATTATCATATAATTATATTATCAACTGGAAAGAAAATAATCTGCCGCATGTAAAACGTTATTTAACTTATTGATGCGCTACGCAAACTTTAGCTCTCTCATCAGTCGCATCGTTGTAACAAAAAATCATTAAATCATCTTCGGGATCGTGCGTAAAACGTTTCGGTTGACCAATCATGCGTGACTTTTGCCCTGTGCGCAATTCAACATTTGGAACACGATATAAATCTCTCGGTCTAGGTGGACAATATATCCAAAATATGTCATCTATCAAAAACGATGAAGCATAGAAAAAAAACGCATTTCCTGCGTTAATAATTGAAAAATTAACACATCTGAATACACAGACGATTTATATGAACTTATACTTAATTTATCCTTCTATGTGCTTCGTTGTTGGAAATCGTCGAGTGTCAAGGTTTATCAATCTCGCGATATATTATCGCGATAAATTATCGCGCCTGTTGATGCTAAATAATCAGACTCTTCTCCATTTTTTCAACAACTTTTCTTAACTAATAATTATTTTACCGTTAAATTCTAATAGATTAAAAACAAAATTCCACTTTCAAAAGAGCTTTCAGAAAATCTGAAGACGATCAACTCGTTCCTTTGGAAATATTGTTGTACGTCTATTTCGCAAATTTTCGTATTAAGAATCTACATAATATGCGTCCGCCTACTTGCTGATGCCCCCGCAAAATATATATTCAATGCAAACGTGAAACCTTAGACAGAACTGATGCTCTACTGGGTGTTTGCCAAACATATTACGATAACTAAATGAGATACGATTAGAATACATCAAGTAGAAAACGTGTGTGTGTGTGTGTGAATGAACGGAAAACTTTCATTGACCCGAGAGCTTGAGTTAATTTAAGAATTTATCTCTATGATATAAGAAAGAAAATATTGGAAATCAATAGAACTGCATTGCATATCGGAGAATGAAATTAGTTAGATAAATATGCATAAAATTGTCCTTTTTACGATGTTATCTAAAAATGTATAAGATGCAATATTAAAAAAAAAAAAACAATTTGAATTATATATAATTTTAAAGAAAGATATATAATATCCTGTTTCGATATTAAATTTAATAAAATTGCTATAATAATAGTCTAAGTTCGTAATCCTGCTATAATTCAAGTGTCATATAAAAATAATTACTGATTTGTATGGAAAGAATGTTGATTACTTACTCGACGTTCCTCCTCACGTGCAGCTCTAAGGTGCGATTCGATCGCATCCAGGTCGATTTTTGGCATCGCTGTCTCGATGTTATAAACGTCGAAGCCACCTTTAATAGTACACGAATGTTAAACGTGAGTACCTTTACCCTATGTCGACGATATGGCGGACTGAACAACCGAATGGAAACTAGTAAGTAACGAACCATCGCGTGTGTGTACCTAAGTAATCTCGAGTGTGATCAGTCCAAAATTAAAGTTTATCTCGTTCGGCTATACTTTTCAAGGGTCAATCAATATAAATATATATGTATATTGTAAATATATTCTATTCTATGTTTTTCAAATTTGTTGCAAATTTTAACATTTGATATCAACTTTTCAAATAAAAATTAAATATTTTAACACTTTGGAAGATTTGAATATAAAAATCAAGATAATCTTATTGCTCTGTTCCATATAGGTTCATTAATCGATAATTAATTTTAATATAAGCTTACTTTGAGAGATTTGATCAAGTAATATAATGCTAAGAATTATAAACCTAAAGCATTAAAAAAATATTTAAAAAAGTAATTATTTAAAATAGCGTTTTCAAGGCCGTGTGTAATTATTGTAGTTAAAACAGTTACTGATATTGAGTCGCCATCACCATTAATAATACAAAAACAATTTTTTTCAATTACTAAGAAAAGTGAGCCAGTTAATTACTTCCAGTAGAACGTGAGTGTCATAAAATGCACATATTTATTAAAAACGATTATACGTTTTGCACTAAAAATATAAAAGATATACGGAAAATAACAATTTGTGCAAAAAAAAATGTATCGGTAATATATCTACGACAGAAAAAATCTATTGTGTAAAAAATTATTTTAATACAAGAATTACAAGGTATTAAAATTAAAAAGATAATAATGTTTAACATTTAAAAACCAATTGTAGCAAAATATTAAATGATTAGAAAGAAATAATATTAATATTGCAGACATATTACTAAAACGATAATATAGAAACATATAAAATGAAAAATTAAAACTGTGAATGAATAGAACAAATAGAGTAAAAAGACACATTGAGATATCTACCAGATCCATTGTCGATGTCAACGCGGCGCTTATCGAGACGCCTCTGAGAGTTAGAGTTTCGCGATTGTTGCTGCTGCTGTTGCTGCTGTTGCTGTTGACGACGCTTGGCCTGGTTCTTAACCATCTTTTCCTTCTTCCGAGCATCGGCGCTGGACGCCTCCGGAAGTTGGCGATCCAACAGCTTGTTAGTATCCATGTGATCCTTGACGATCGAGGTGGACCGCGGTTGGCGCATACTTTCGATCGATTCCATCGCGACCACGTCCGGTACCGGCTGGGCGTATTTCTCAAGATCGACGCCGATGTCCCGGCCGATACTCGACAGTAAATCGATTTCCTCCAGTTTCGTATAGGTCGGCCGCTCCTCAGCGAAGCCCTCGGAGTAGTCACTGTTACTCTCCGACTCGTCGTCGTCGACCGAACCGCCCGTCGACGTTGACGTCGTCGTCACCGGCTGACGGTTGCCTATTTTGGAGCGATCTGAATGAGGCAACTCCTTTGCCTCGCGTATTAGGTCGATGTGCTCCACCACGATGTCCTCCGTCTGCGCCCACACCGAAATCATTTGTGTTTAATCGACCATGCACGAGAACATCGCGAGTCAGATAGGTGCGAGACTCAATGACAGGAAATAGGATTAATCGGGATAGTAATTGTCATGCAAATCAATTGCATAATAACGTTAAAAAGGTCTCAGACAGAAAAGCCGCGGAAATTGTGTATTCTATGATAATTAAGTTTAATTATGGATGAACAACATAGTGCGTGCAACAGCAAGATTTAAGAATTAATGAAATTCAAGGCGAGTTCAGCTTAGATCACGGATAAATACAAGACTGTTAAACGTTAAAACTAATTATATAACTAATATGACTAATAAAACTAATACTATAACAATTAAAAATATTATAATTATAATAGAAAGAATAAGAGTTAATATATACGTTGAATAAAATCAAGATGAAATAAACATCTATTTTAAATATTATTTAAAGTCATTTGAATTAGTAATTTTCATCTATGTTGGACTTTCCAACGATGATGTTTTATAGTTGTTATAAAAACCGTCGCTTTAGGATATGATTTTAACTTACAATTAATCTTAATTGCACTAATGATTGTAGAAAATCACCTTCGAGCTCACCTCGCCGATCTCGCTAGTCTTTCCAGAGTCTAGAATCTCCTCGATCTCCGGAAACTGCAGGCTTTCATTTACGCTGGTAGTCAACTCCACTAGCTCAACTTCGACGGGTACTTCCCTCTCACGTTTATCCTCAAAAGTCACTTGCGACAATTCGATAGCGCACTCATCCACCTGCACAGTGGACAGTAGTTAAAAAATTTTTAATTTTTGACCAAAATAGAAATCTCCATAAAAATAAACTTTATTCAAAAACACTAAAACTAATCATTTATAAATTTCTTAACTAAAAAATTTACATTATTTATATAATAAAATTTATTTTTTTGTACAATATTATTTTTATTTACTATAATATTATCTATTATTAAATATACATACGAAAAATTATTAAATATATTTTAAATATTTAAAATTGACAATAAAATAGTTTTATTTTAATTATACAAAATTATTAATTTATTTCCATAAAATTATTAATTTATTTCCATAAATTTTAAAACATGCCGTTTCTTTAATGAACTCTAGCTTTAGAGGATGGCAGAATCGAATTGATTGTGAGCTCCTTATTCTATAAAATAGTTCTGTCATTATTTACCAATCTTAAAAGAATAATTGTGGCTGCAAATAAGCTCGTCCAAATGCGAACAATATACCTTCCAATATAAAATATTTTGAACGTCTCTCTCTTTCTTTTACTGATAAATAATAATAAAATGATGTATAATAATTTTAAAAATATGATAATAGGATATTATAACATTGTTATATGTGATAATAGGATATTATAACATTGTATTTATATTTTATCTAAAATAAAATTTTTTTAAATAAATTTTAGCTAAAAATTAAAAAATTTCAAACCACTGTAATCTGGTTGGCCAGACTCTCTTCCCGTTCGTCTAAGAGCGTCAGGTGAGTTTCTGCCTCGACGATGCCGTTTATGACTTCCTCCGGCTCCGGCGAAAACGCCTTCTCCTCGGATTTAGAGACCTCCACACTCTTGACGTAGTTGATGCACTTTTCCGAAGGCGGCACCACCGCCTCATACAGAGAGGTCACAGTCTGGAACATAAGAGAGACGAGAGTGGCATGATGATGTCACGAAAGCGAGAGTATGTGTTCGTAGAAGGGTGTTTGATTATTTTTACGCGTTGATAACTTACGTCGACTATCGTCTGGTTTTCCTAGTGACAGATTTATTTTTATTTAGAATGATTTTGCGCGATTGTCATGATGTGACTCGTGCAAAAAAATTAGTCCAATCCTTCTGCTGACGACGAATGTTAATAAAATCGATTCAAACGTTCTCTCTTTTTAGAGAAAGAGAGAGAGAGAGAGAGAAAGAGAAATAGATAAATTGACAATTCGTCAACGATCTTTCTGTTAAGACATTTGAAAATTGAAAATCTTTAAATCAAAAAAAGTCCCGGACAAAAGAAAAAAATCATCGACAGATATATGTATTTCAGAAATAAAAGGTCTGTTTTTTATTGCTGCATTCTGAACCGGTGCAATAAGTTGAAGTGAAACAAACGTATATTTAATATTTCACTTCAACTTATTGGACCGTGTGCACCAGTTCATAGAGTGCAGCAATAAAAAACAGATCTAAAATTGTTCATCCGACACTCAACATCTTCGGAATTTTTTGTCTTGAAAGAAAAAAGAAATTTAGAATGGAGAATCTTAAGAGATACATACATATATTATCAAATATATTATATATGGCGCTCATTTCTACAAACATCTAAATTTTTAATATTCTCTATCACATCTTTGTGATTCTTTACGATGTTACAAGTACGGTCAGTTTGTTCAATTAATGATGGATATTATACCTGTATATTAAATTTGGGCTTCTCATAAAAGATCTTGCGATCGTTGCGCTGGCCACAGAGATGATTGATACTGTCGTTGATATTGTTATTGTACTCGTCGTTCTCCGGCAACGGAGCTACCTCATCATGGTGATGAAGTGGCGGGTAATCGGAACAACTATCGTGTTCGTCCTCAGTCAGGTCTGTGTCCGATAGCAGGGAAGGTGCCAAATGCTGAAAGCCGGGATAGTTGGGATTGACGATGCCGCGGCAGCCTGCTGGCAGATTCCCTTCTTCAGACCAATCGGACCACTCGGATGGCGTCAACTCGTGCGACGAGTTCTCATGCGGAGAGTTACGCCCTGCAACATTTCGCAGTTATGCTCATCTCAGCATCAGCCGAATAATTGGACGTCGTAGCTCGTGACTCATCATCGCGCACCGCGCTAGTCGGCTCGTGCGCTTGTAGGCTGATTGTCTTTCCACCAGCAATACTTTACTCTGACGAGTGACTAAATCTCGCTCTTAATTTTAGAACACATACCTCTAGAAAAATTCCGAAAACACACATCATGGATCTCATTGAAGACTCATTGTAACTTTGATAGATTGTAACATCGGGGGATTCAGATTCATATTTCAGACTTCTTTTATTTTAAAGCTCTGAGATTTAGGAATATACCTGTACAGATCGTAATGACAAAAAGTTTTGCATTGTTAAGTTATAAAATAAAACTCTCCTTTCTTTTTCCTGGAGCAAGCGAAATTTCGATCGAGTCTGGGAAACCCATGTGTGTGATCTAGGGTTAAAGATTGAAAATTGTGTCACTCTGTTTCAAAACGCTCAATTTTCACTCTTTAGAGTGAGATTCTACTCCAAAGAATTTAGAAAGCACACATGCGACATCGATAAGAATTCCTCATGTTCGGTTTCAACAATTCTTTGTCTTCGAGAATTCTTGATTGTTGTTAGATTTGTTGGTTATCATTGAATAGATCAATGATGTCATGATCAATCATTGGTTCCTGAGCTTTAATTTTATACATAATTACTGATCATGAAAAGACTTGTGGCTGTGTAGTCTCTTTCTATAAACTGCAATGTCCTTTATATGGATCTTTGGTTTTATGGGACAGATTAACACGCTGGATTATTATCAGCTGCTGTAGCTTCAAATTATTGTGGCATTATATATATTGTAATATTAACTTCTAAATATAGATTACTGACTCTAGAAATTTTACATTTCATGAATAATTTTATATTCTGCTTCTGCGCTGATAATTTTTAAATTTAGACTACAGTTGCAGATATAAAATACTTAATAAATAATACCGTAAATCACATTGTGTATTGTAAGTTAATTATTGTGAAAGTGTACCATACTTTGTCTGCAATACGCGACCGCGAATAACTTTGGTTGAACTAAAAATCTCGAGCTTGTACTTTACGGATAATGGTTAATGTCAAGGATGTAAAACGCGTTATTAATGGCAACCACTGGAAAATATCGAAGTTCGCCACACGTGTCTGTCGCGCTTCTATGACGAAACCTTCAATCGCCATTGTTTTCCAATAAAATCTCGAACATCAGTATAGCGTAGCATTTGAAAGAAGTATGACTAAAAAGTAGGCCAATCAATTAATTGCTCGATAGAAGCGAAGATCTGCGAAATTAATAAATCTAATAACTCAGATGTATTCATTTATTATCTAGACATATTCTTTATTAAAAATGTGTATGTAATCAATACAAAAATATATGTTTTTCTTCTATCTCTTTGGAATTACTTCACTTATCAATTTTTTTTTAATTTTTTCACAAATTATGTCGTAATTTAATCACATGAAGAAGTTCTTATTCTATTCTATTGTACGATTCTACATGGGTTGGTTCAGGGACGATAGGGCTCACCTTCGTAACCAGTGAGGCTTTCGATGGAGCTGCTACTTTGTATCCTCAGCCCGGTTAGATTGTTGTTTACGTTGGCGGATTGCTCTTCGATCGTGCCTAATAATACAAGTCTCTTACTTATAAATCATTTGCTTTTATCTTTCTCTAAATCCTTTTTATGCTCTATCAATTTCCTTTTTTTTTCTCTGAATTTATTTATTCTACATTTCCCTAATGCGAAATCGCATATAATAATAGAATAATATGATAGAATAATATAGATTATCGGCCGCATTAACAATATACATCAATCATATAAATAATTTCACGTGAATAAATAATTGGCAGAATACAGATATCTCTGAATTTATTTATTCTACATTTCCCTGATGCGAAATCGCATATAATAATAGAATAATATGATAGAATAATATAGATTATCGGCCGCATTATATTAACAACATCAATCATATAAATAATTTCACGTGAATAAATAATTGGCAGAATACAGATGGCAAATGTTGAAATGTGAGATGATTAATAATGACGTATATTGTACATACAGAATGTTCAGTAAAAATCGTAACAACACTTAAAGAAAAATTCCTGAGATTATTTAGAAACGAAAATTCCAATACCAAAATATCAGTAATTAGAAATATCACTTAATAAATATCACTTAATAACTTAATCTTATCGTGAACATAATCTTTCTACCGATATTAACAAGACGCAACGAGTAGCTTTTAGCACTTTACGTTCTACTATCTAAACGCGCAAAATTTAGGCGGTGCAATTCGCTAACATTAAATATTTATAAATCATACATTATTATAGCCCCGACATTTTGGTATTAGAATTTTCGTCTTAAAGTTATGTCAGGAATCTTCCTTTAAGCGTTGTTACAATCTTGACGGGACATCCTGTATTATACATAGAATGTAATGCATGTTTATATACGTACAAGGTATCCCGAAATTCGCGAATCAAAATACCACACAGCAAAACAGTTTTCAAAAAATTAAATAAAAAATAATAATAATAATATTCGATTTGTATGAATCACATCACATATGCGCATAAGAAGAGCTACCAAATATATGTATACGGTCAAAGTTAGATATTGAGATAAAAATAATTATACGATATATGTATAAATTTCTAAATACATTTATCTCAATCATACTATGCGCCGCATACTGTCGGCTTTACAACACAATTATTTAACTGAAATAATAATCTAGATCACAAATTAATTTTTAATCATCAATTTAATACTATCAGCACATTTAAAATTTTGTAAAGAACTTATTGTGAAAAATATTACCTCAGCCAGAAATCGAACGGGACTGAAAAGTTATTTGTAAATTTTTATTTTAAGCAATAGTTTGTGAAATAATAAAGGTTTAAATATGGCCAATTATGGACTACGTTTAGATACGCGAACTATATTCAAACGTTGAAGTGCGCGTTTACTAATACCACCGCATGTGTAATTCATGGACAGGTAGCCGTATAAAGGTAATCTATAGTTAATTATACTCAAGCTCTTATATTTCAAAAACTACTTGAAATAAAAATGTACACTTTTTTATTTAACTTTTCGAAAATTTTCTAGCTGGTATATGTTAATTTCGGGACACACATATACATATATGTATATATAAAAGAAATATATAATATATATACGTATACAAAATTAAATATATGCACATATATAAATATAAAATATCGTTACTTTGATATTTTAATTTAATATTGTAATTATTAATAATTCTGTAAGAGTAAATTATTGCATATTTTCTAAAACGCAGAAGGAGCATCTAAAGATGGTTCTTTTAAAATCGATACAAGTTTGTAATATGCGCACACTGGGCACATACACACACGCACACACACACACACACACAGCTAAAGGTAAGCAGATTATAGCGATTGACAAACGCAATTTAAATTTAACACTTTTAACAGCACACTCACCTTCGTAATCGGCGAGGCTTTCGATGGAGCTGTTCCTCCGTATCCTCAGCTCGGTGAGATTATTGTTGACGTTGACGGGTTGCTGCGTTGACGGGTTGCTCTGCTGCACGTTGTCGCGCGCGATCGCTAGAGAGGACCACGTGGTGGTGTCCTCGGCCAGCCGGAAATCCGCCGACTCGTCGTTCGGGTAATCCGGTTCAGGAGTGGCGACCGGCTCCTGAGCTGCGTTCTCGTTGCGATCGCCGATCTCGCCGGCCCCGACGCTCCGGCTCGGGCTGTGCCTGCGGAGCTGGCTGCGAGCGAGACCGAGAAATGAGTCCAGGTGGATCGATACTAGCGTTGCCGTTAGGTATACCGCTCGAGCCCGCCGATGCCGAGGCGGCATAGGCGGCAGCACGCCTACGGCCGCCACGGAGACGGATCAGACGTTTATATTTAGCGTAACTTATAACTAGGAAATAATCAGCCGACTTGGTCAGGCAAAGATTACAGCGATTGACATTTGCAGCCATGACTCGACGTAACTCCGCGTGCACGGCCATTATATGACGTGTATTTATTTAGTTCTTCGCTTCTCCTAATTATATATAATATGTTAGGGAATGTGAATGAGAAAATATTGTTTCCTTGAGGAAACATTGGTAATTAAGCTCACTTTGATTTGGGACATCATTAATAAATATAATATATATATAGATTGTAGAATTGAAATTGATAACAGAAATAATTCATTTATCGATTTTCCATTACCGCTGGAGTATTTCAGCAACTATATATTTAGTGTGGATTTTAAAATAATTTATTTTAAATTAAAAATCCTCTATTTAAATCTTTCATTACAAAAGTACTATTAACACTCAAAATAAGTGTAATTGATTGACCATTATTAATATTAATTTCTATAAGAATACTATTTTTGTTATTATAATAAATGATTTAAGTTGGAGTGTTAACAGTATTTTTAACACACAAAATAAATGATTAATTGGCCAGTATTAGTATTAAATTTCTATAAAGGCAACTGTCATATTTCTTGCAATTTTTGACTATCAAGAGTTGGAAAAAGAGTCGAATAATTTTTTTAATCTTCAGGGTGGAAAAAAATTATATCTTCAATCCGATTTACATATTATTTAAAAAAAATAATAAACAAAAATAATTTTTTAATACCTAAAATATTTAAGATAGAAGAGCGTACAACATTCAAAGTGATTATAAAGAATGTAAACTCGTTATAAAATAACATTGATAATAAAAACTTATAAAAACGGCTCTATAACGGCCAGGATTAAAAACCAGCACTTGAGAAACACATTATGTAATATGAAGAACAAAGTAGCAGCTTTCCACGAATTGTGGCATTCACATTTCCGTGTCCGTTTCAGCACCTCGATTAGGGGATGATTATTATCTGCGCACGTGATCGCCGGCCCGGCCGGCCGTCAATTAACCCTCTATTACGAGCGCCGTAATAGATTTGATCATCTCGTTGTCGGGATAACTTACTTGTTGTTCAGTCCATTGGGATGCAACGACACCGAGACCGACTCCCTGAGCCGCATATCGATTGATCCTCGTCTGAAAAAGAACGCGTACGATCGGTTTAATTCCTCCATTCTCCGAAACAGACAGAGACAGTGAGAGAAAAAAAGGGGATGAATCTTCGCGCGCGCACTTTACTGGCCACCCTCCTCTGGCGCAACAGAGAGAGGGAGAGAAAGAGAGAGAGAGAGAGCGCTCGGAAACAAACGTGAGATCCTCTGCGAGAACTCCCGGGAGATTGTCAATCGGGCAAGTAGCCACAAGAACGAGCGGAACCGCGAATCGATTGTGAGACACACAGTCAAACTCTCTCCGGCTCTCCGTCCAGCATTCAACGAGGCTACCGAGGGAAATAGGGAATGGGACTCACCGTCCGCCATGTTGAAGTCGTGCGCAAGGTTGCTTGCGTTCAGCCCCGCGGTTTATCGACTCGCGACCGACACCCTCGTTTTACCCTCCCCTCCCCCCCCCGCCCTCGACCACCCACCGTTTTGTTCGCCAACCCCCTCTTCCTCAGGGATGGTTTCGCACGTTCGAGCGCCCTGAAACTTCGCGTCCTACCTCTTCTCAGCATCGCCATCATATTTGATTTTATGAAGGTGTGACTCGGAGTAAACTTTAATTAACTACCTAGTAAACAAGATGATGCTATTTATCGTCATTTTAACGTTACATTGACGCCCTTAACGTCACAATTAATAAAAATATTAGAAAGTTTTTGCAATAACGTGAATCCAGATACGGTGAATGGTAAAGTCATGTTATCCTTTTCTTAGTTAGTTGTTAAGAAAAAAGATAACCTGACTATCTGATCTTATTTGGATAAACGGTATTGCACAAACTTTCTAATATCAGCTTGTTTACTGGGTAATCGAACTGGGTGTCAAACTTATCAAGTAACGTATCTGTGCTATGTCTTGTTAATTAACACATAGAATTTTTGGTTGTTCAACGGATATAAAGAAAAAAAGGGATTAAATTAGGGTCAACGATTTATATTTAGAAATTTTACTGCAAACGCGGTTCTGCCAGTTGAACTTAATAGTCGATTAAATTAATTGGTATTTGCATGTATATATTTGGAGCACATTTAGGACGTAAGCTTTCTGTTACAAGATAATCTTGATGACTCTGATTTGACTATGACGAAAATAAAAATCAGAACGTACTTAAATCGAATGTAATAGCAGAAGCGTAAACGCCCCTTTTATATTTCCTCTGCAATTTTCGCCTCCTAGAAGCTTAATTCATTTACGCTTCTGTAATTTTTCCCTTACATTCGACTTATGCTCCACCTTTTATTATCATCAGGAAAGAAACAATGTGCTTTTTACATTCATTGTTCATGCTATTTTAGTAACTTATACTATTGTTTCATAATAGTAATGCGACATAGAAAAATATACAATAAATATTAAAAATTTTATATCTAGAAATATCCACATTTTGCATCCACCATACATACCGATTTGTTTTTTTTTATGTACTTAAATATCACGTAATTTTCGTGTTATTTATCTAGATATGCCTTACAATTTGCAATAGAATGCACGTATGATAAATTTGAAAAATCAAAATGGATTTCTATAGAAATTAACTCTTTGTGATCTCATAATGCTATTAAAAGATTTTATAGGAGCAAAAAATTTCAAATATATAGAATTACATTTATTTTTCATAATAATTAACTTATGATATCGAATCAAATTTTTCCTTGCTGATTTTATGAAACTTTGTAAAAAGTGGTTTATATTAGATATTAGGTTTATGAAATCATTTATGTACTATAGAAACATTTTGTTTTATTTTACAAAGAGGAAGATAATGCGTGTGCGAACTAGAAATTGTGGATCATTTGCTGTCCCCTAAAATTAAAACGGCACTATCACGGTCTATGTAGCGTCATCTTCATCTCGCACGTGCGTGACAGTCCTTAGCCCCGTATCCCAAGGCAACTCCTTAACCACCCTCATCTTGCTTTCCGATCCCTCGAGTATTCTTTCGCAATGCGTTTCGCGTCTTTCCGCGGAATCAAGAAGTATATTACAGGCAGTGTGCCAAGAGAATCTCGTTCTAAAAATTTTCACACGAATAACGCGAACGTAAATAATTGCATCCTTATTAATACATATTAATGTAATCTTTGAAAATCCACTTTTTTAAAAGTCTACTTCAAATTTTTCGAAAAATCTGCATATTGTAAGAAAAAATATCTTGTTTGTGTGATATCAAAAATTTATTAAAATATTTTTTTCTAAACGCAACAAAATATCAAAATTCTTGATATATTTAAAACACTTTATGGGATATTCAGTTTGTTTCAATTACGTTTAGAACTTTTATTTATTTTTCATGCGAAATTAATTCGTACTTAAAATTTCCCGAAATCTGATTTATACCGTAGAATTTACGAATAATTTACAGTAATTTATAAAAAAGAAATTACACTAATTTATATGAGAAATTTCTTCATTCTTCGATTTTAATTGATACAGAATGTCGGTTTAGAGCTTTTATCAGCCTGCGGACTGATAATTTTGCTGGTGGTGCCTTTTATTTGACGACGGCAGTCACGCGTCGATCGATCGATTCGCCACGCCGCGACGCGACGCGTCGCGTCGCGTCACGTAGCGTCGCGTCGCGTTGCACGGCGCCGTTCTTTCTATCTGGCCGAAAAAGCGTCGGCGTGTACCACGAATTTTGCACGCGCGACGTCAAGTCCTCGTTCGGGATGCACCAAGATGCACCTTGCCGCCAGCATTGCCGCACTTGGCGCGTTCCGCTTCGAGGCCTCACGGCGAGGTGGTCGCACGAGGAATACATGTGCACGCGAGCGATAAAAATATATGTATATTATTTTCGATCAACACCGTTATTGTACACAGCACTAATAAGTATTAAAACCAAAGAAAAAAATTTCGAATCGATCGAAAAAAGAATTACAAGAAAAGTCTACAGACCAAGTAGACAAGAGAGGGATCAGAGTGATGCAATGAAATCTTAATGATAAAAAAGAAAAGAATTGAAGATTATTATCTTATGATGATCCTCTGCTAGATGTCATTAAACTGATAACCTTAATATCGTTCTTTCATGCTTTTAGAATAACTAGTAATATTACTGAGCAATATATTGTTTTAATTATCCAACAGTTTCTATTAATTTATTCAAACCAACACAATCCGGTTTGTTATAATTTTACATAATAATTTATGTATTATATGATTACACTACTCGAGTGACAATTATAGATCATTGCATCGATTCATTTTGTTACACGAGGTGAATCATAAGATTACCCCTCAAAGAAGCCGAAAAGAGAGAAATCTGAAAAATCTATATTCTTCCTCAATATCTATATCTTTCGATAATATTGCAACTTAAAAAAGAATGATTTATTTTTAGAAGTGTTCTTCTTCTTATAAAGAACGCATTGTACAGTAGTGCCTCATTCATATAAAAAAATATATTTTATGAAAATTATTTGGATTAATAAACGTTCTGCAAACGGTAGAGACTTTTCATGGACTCGTGATTTTCATCCCTCGAGTTTTCGAAAAAATAGCGACGCAGAACACTTAAATACTGTTGGTTCAATCATATAGAATCGCGCATCCCCATAGGCATATCACTTGATTCACTTACATCTTTGAATCGGCAGGTCACCGACAGCTGTCCTCTCGCAAGACGCAGGAGAGTCTCTTCGCTGATCGGATCCTCAAGCGTTGTTCAAAAGGAGTCTCGCATTCGCCGTCGCTATCGCCGTCGTCGGCAAATGCACTAGGTTTAGCACTTGGGAATGTATCACGCGAGGATGCGAATCGAATTACTACGCTACGATTTAGCTCGCAAAAATACAAAAGGAAGCGCAACGACGAGTCTTGGTGCGCGACGCGAAGAGACTGCGAGGCCACGGTGTCGGCGTTCAATGTCCCTCTCTTTTTCTCTTTGTCTTTCTCTCTCCCTTTCCATTCGATAGTTACTACTCTCTCGTTTTAACTAACGTCTCCGTCTCCATTCCTCTCCCTTATTCGTTGCGCACCAGTATCACCCTTCACGATGACGAAAGATAGACGCAGGCGCAAACCCCTCCGCGGGGGTTGCTGACTCGATTTGTTCTCTTCTCCGCGTCGCGATGTGATTTCGTTATGAGAGAGACTTGCCAATTATCGATCCAACAGTCGATCTTGATTTGGGACAATGGGAGTCGACGCCCGACACCTTGCTACACTTACCGTAATTTCACCTTTCGTCATGTATGATATGAATTAATAACAAGGATGCCAACAATACAATTCAGTTTCGTATTTAGATGACATAAATTCAGGATTTAATATAAATTGTATGTCGAGTTATCTTACACAGCTCAACTAGATAATTGCGTTTAGCGTCAACTATAGAAATACTTGTCCAAGTTGTTTAATGAATAACTGGTAGTTAATTAGAAATGTTTATATATATTCTTCAGTAGTAAGAGAAAATTCAAGCGTAATAAGAGGTTTCACTATTTTAAATAATACGTGACAGTTTTTAGCAAGGTTACAACAACAGCCTTACAACATTACGATATATAAATAACACTGTAACTTTTCATTAAAAAAAAATATACATGTACAAAAACAGAAGTATGGTAATAAATCATTTAAATTTATTTATCTTAATTTAAAACTGTACAATTTATTTTTATTAAAAGGAATATTACTTAATTGAAATTATGTGTGTAACGTATAATTTATGAGTTACTTTGATCCTAGTATTACTTCATTAGTTATTGTACTCTACTCTTTTATTTACGTCTATTACCACCACCGGCCAGTATGGTCAGAACTCGCACGAAGATGTTCAATGTATCCAGATAAATTGAGATTGCACTGCAAAAATACAAACATTAATTTTATATTGTGACAATTCTTAGATAATAAAAAAAAAATTATTTTGTGATTACGTATTCATATTTCATATCACTTAAGTAGGTGCTCTAAAAGCTTTAAGGGGCGATTTCTCATATTAAATCAAGAAAACTTCATATATGTCCAAAAAGGGAGAGGTTTCAAAGACACAAATCAAATTGAAGGAAAAACGTCGTTTTGTAAAAATATCAAAATCTATTTGGGTTATTATGATGAAACTTTTATACCTTTCAAATATGCACAAAGTTTCATTAAAATAACCCTAGTTTTCAAAATAAATAAAAAAAACGCACGAAATTTTTCCTCCACTTTGACAGCTTGTATCTTAAAACCAAACCGTTTCGAACATATAGTCATATGAAGTTTTCGTTTTGATCTCTCTCTAGTGTGAAAAATCATTCCTTAAAATTTTTTAGAGTACTTAACTATCACTCTATATATATAATTATAATATAAAAAAAACTGACAAGGGAAACAACACCAGGTGACGGTGTCGGGGATTTTTATGTGCTTTTTACAGGCTATTCTTGAGCGAAAAAAAAAACGATATATATCCAGCCGTTTCAGTCATTGGCCCATAGTTCCGAAGAAATCGATTTTTTAAATAATTATTGTAATAATTTGAAAAACGTACCGTATAGAAAAATATCAATATCTTTATAAATTTCATTTTAATTTAATGTTATTCATTTTAATTACTTTTTGATTGTAATGAAATTTCAAGAAATTACAAATTAATATTAAACACTCATTTATGAAATATTTATTATTATCATCATTATCGTCGTTGTTATTTACATGAACGCATAAATAAGATTGTAATGAAAATTGTTAGTTTCTAATGAAATTAGAAATTGGAAATTGTAATTAGAAATAAGTAAATCATATGTTTGTAATTTTCTTTTCATTAATATTAATCGATTTATTAATAACAATAGAAAACTAATTGTGTTTTGTAGATATACATTGTATGGGATGATATAAATCATAAAAACAAGAAAAACATAAATATTTATTGCATTGTGAACACCTTTCAAATAAATTTTTGTTGCAGACAAAATAACTTTTTCTAATATCTGGAGGAAAGCAGATTTGATTAACATTATGGAAATAGTTTTTTTCAGAAATCAATTTTGATGAGAACTAAACATATTTTATCATCGGTGCGAAAACTGGAGATGATAATTGATGATGAATCATCGAATGGTTTAATGACATTCTCTCGCGTCGACAGTTCTTTGCATAAATTAGTTTTCTATTATTATATTTCTTCGAAACTATGGGCCAATGGTTGAAACGGCCGAACATGTATAATTTTTTTTTTCGCTCAACAGCCTGTAAAAAGCGCGGGAATCAAAATCCCCGACACTATCACCTGATGTTCCCTTTGTGAATTTAATAATATTTAAAAAGAGAAATATTAAAAATTGTAAAATATTCATTATTCACAAACATTATAATTTCTTTGCAACACATTATTAACATTTTTCCATGAGATGAGAAAAATCAACATTTTATTTAATAACAATCCTTCCTATTCCGAACTACTTTTTTTGATTACTTACTTATTTATTGGATCGTATGGCCTATCATGAATGTTGTACATCGGATAAGTTTCCGCTTGTTTGATGATTTTTTGCGTGTCATAGAGCAGGAATCCGGAAAATAGCAGAAGGCCGCCATAAAGAGCTACAGAATACAGTCCGGATCCAAGAGCGGTCGTAGGTGGAAGGAACATAGAACCGAGCGAGCTGGCAAATACTACGCCTAAACCAATAGCAAGCGGACCGCCCATTGCCAGAAATTTATCGCTGGGCGCGGAAACGGCAATCGCTGATAAACCACCGACTATCCCAGCGGTGTACCAAGCAGCTCGGATAACCAATGCTCCACCCAAAAGAGTCAACGGTGCTACAACGGCGCCCAAGATTCCAGTATGTACTAGCCAAGCCATATGTTTGCTATTGAATCCTTCCTTATATGGAAGTCCTTGTACAATCATGCCGCTGCCAATCATTGCAGCCAATGATACACCTATAGCGACCCATCCCTGACGCATTATCATGTTCATTACAACGGGAGAACGCAGGCACATAGCCGCAGACGCTGCGCTGGCAGCAATGGACGCACCAAAGTACGTGTAAGTGGACTTCACTCTGTCTTTAACGTATTGCGGCCATAAGCTGTATGGAAAAAAATAATTCTAGGTTTTATTTTATCTTGTCAAGTTGAATTCAATTAGAATTCAATTAGTAGAATAGAAAGGACCCCGCACGTTTCTTATGGATTTTGATTCTCAAATCTTCTCATATTTTGGGAAATTGTAGTTCCAAGTGTCTCGATTAAAAATGTCAATGGGCGCGATCTCCTAAAATTAACAGTTTTCGAAATATAACTATTCAAACTTGGTTAATTCTATTATTTCGGATATTGGGCAATACAAACAATCTCGATCCTACATGATCTTACAACTTGAAAAAATACTTCGATGAACCTTATAACATGTGAAATAAGGCTGCCATAATTGCATTTCGTTTCGCGATCCCAATTGTGGCTAAAAATGATAATAAGTAAAATAATGATAAGTACCAATCGACCATTGTACCAATTCGAGTCAACAGTAGCACGTTCCACACGATTCTTCCCACTGCTACTCAACTTGGGTAATATTAAGTCAGAAAATGTATGCACACTAACTTTATTCATATGACATTACTCATTGTTTATTTTTAGCCACAATTGAGATGGCGAAGCGAAATGCAACTACGACAACCTTATTTCGCATGTTATAAGATTCATCTAAGTATTTTTTTCCAAATCTGTAGGATCATATGGGACTAAGATTGTTTATATCGCCCAAAATCCAAAATAGAAATTAACTAAGTTTGAACAGAGTTATATCTCGAAAATTTAATTTTAGGAGGCCCATTGACACTTTTAATCAAGATACCTGGAACTACAATTTCCCAAAATATGGAAAGATTTGACCGAGAACTAAAATCCATAAGAAACATGTGGGGTCCTTTATGATACAAACAAACTGCAAGCTGTTTTCATATTGAGAGTAAATTCTGAGCTACAAATAGTAATAAAATTCTATGCATATATATTTGGAAATTGTATTAAAACGCTTAAGAACTTTTATAGCGGATTCAGTCGTCACTTGTATTACACTAGATTAATGCACTAAAAACATTATATTATACGTGAAATTAGTTAAATGTAAAAAAGCATATAAATATTTACAATTAAATACCCAAATATTATATATTGTCACGTTATTTAATAGAATACATATACAGAGTGAATGTTAATGCATGCCTGTACCTTTTACTATGAGAAGTGAGTTATCGACTGCAGTTGTGATCATCTAAACTATTCTAAACGAAGCAGCATATAAATGGCTGTTGCTTAGATCGCACATACATGCTGAAATAACACAGATGATCATTATAAATTCAAAAAGAATTCACTTTTTTAAATTCTTTCTTTGAATTTACGAAATCTTTCAAATAAACTGAAAAGAAGTACAGTCGATAACTCACTTCTCATGGTAAAAGAATACAGACATATAATAACATTCACTCTATATATGTATTATTTCATCATCAAAGTTGATTAAATTATGCCGCTGTATTTAGATACTTCATATAAAGCAGCCCTTGAAGTCCATTCTACAATTACATAATCATAGTTGTAAATGATTACAGCTATAAGAATTGATCAATCACTGTCGAATATGAAGAGACTACTGTAGAATGGGCTTAATGTGCATTAATTCAATGTAGTGACTAGTACAAATGATCAAATTCACTATTACGTTTTCTACAATACCTCATTACCTAAGCTTTAAATCTTAAAAAATTGACCAATCATAATCGTTTATTCCTCTCACATTTGACTGTGACCGATTAATGTCTTATATAATTTAAGACTTAAAATTTAAGTAATAACTTATTGTAGAAATTATCCATTAGAGAAAAACAAGTTGCTTACTGTGCATGATCTATGGCACCCGTTTGTGAAGAAAGACCTAATCCATAATAACAAAGACCACCTAATCCCATCAGTGCTCCTCCAGCGACTGCTGCTTTTCCAACGTTAAATGCTGCAAAACAACAATAGACATCAGTCTCACAAAACAGAACTATATAAATGTAGCTAATACAATCTTAAGGAGCTAATACGTTCTCAAGGATTTCTATCAAGTCTTGCCGATACTGTACATCATATACATGGCAATCAATTATCACCTAATAAAAATATTCGTCTTACCCGTTTCGCCAGCCGGGGCCGTCGCTTGCTCCACCACAGTGGCTCTTCTTCTCGCGGTTCTCGTGTAAGAGCTACGTCCATCGTTGACGAATAATCTTGCGATCTGACCCTTGGAAAATTGCGGCGTCGGAACGACCGGAGTTCGGACGAGTGACGCCAAACCTGGCGAAACCCCAGCCCGACAGATCTTCGCTACCAACATCCCGTTTCTTTAATTCTCGCTTCTTCGCGTTTCCTGCGGTTTCCTGACAGTTCTGCACAGAGAAAACAGAAACACGTTATTTACTACGTCACATGTACCGTACTCACGTTGTCATCATGACGTTGAATTCCCGTTTACATGGAAATGTTTCACGATGAAATTTTGAAGGTTCAAAGGGATCGCGTTGTTATGAAGAAAATAATTTCATCGCAATTTACTCACATGACGCAATAATGGTGCGATTGTTTCACAACGCACACTGGACCAGAGCAGCCAAACGGCGCATGCGAGAATGTGCAAGAAATCGAGAATCACCGCAGTATATATAAGTAGCGCAACTCTCTGTCGGCACCTTTGATGTTAGTGTTGGCCAAAATAAAGTGCGCATGTGTGAAATAAGCAAGTTACCATGGCGCTGCCATGGTTACTACCTAGACTTCTTTCTCATTTTATCCTTTTTCCGTTCTGTCAAAACTCACTAGATCTATTCGCATCGCATTCCAACTAATGCGTTGAAGAGAGTAAGTGCTATTGTAAGAACATATTTTTTTTTGGAACATATTAAAGCATGCGATGCAAATAAACCTACTATTGCGATGAAATAATTTAAACTTTATGAAAATTAATAAAAATAAATTGTAAATATATTGAAAAATAAAGAAAAATATTGAAAAATTAGGAAAAATATTAAATTAACTTAAAAATGTATATTTGTATAAAGAAATATTATGTAATTATATATCTATGAAAATATTATGAGAAAGCTGATATAAAAGAAATTTATATATATTATATATATATATATATATGTCCAAAAAATAAATTTAAAATGCAATAAATAAAAAGAAATATATCTTTCTTTCTCGGTTTTCTATATTATTTTTGTTCACTTTTTCACTTTATCACTTCGTCACAAAAATTAGACTAATCTCTCGAGATTTCTCACACAACATTTCACCAAATGGACAATACACGTAATACTTGCCTCCAAATTTCTATTCTGAATCATGTATGCTTGAAAAACAAATGTTTGAATCATGTATGCTTGAAAGACAAATTTAAGTGAAACATTGAAACGCTCATTTAAATAGGGAGAGAGAAAGAGAAACAGAGCAATAAAAAAAGGAGGAAATGAGACGGGGCAACTTATTTATTTCGCGCATGCGCACTCCATTTTGGCCAACATAAAATCAGGGTATCAATCGTGAAACTTTTATTCCTAGGATGGAAAGTAAAAAGTTAAAATTTTAACCATTGAAGTTAATGGAAACATTTTTCACTTTTCACTTTTAATCCTAGGAAAAAAGTTTCATGATTGATACTCAGGAGAGTTGCACTACTGTATATACTATGATCACGCGATCAAGTGGTCTGTTTTCTATTCCTGCACTAGACTGCTCTAGAACTCTCTTTCTCGCATTAAATAAATATCAAACGTATTTCTATGGCCGGTATTCATAGTCAGATCTTATATTCAAGACCGTCTTAAGTACGGTCTTAAGAAGTCACGAACCAATCAGAGGGCTGCATTAGCGTCTTAAGACATTACTTAAGACGGTCTTAAAATAAGAACCGACTATGAATACCGGCCATAGGTCTGTTCGCGTTGCTCGCACTTTTTGCACTCAGCATCTTCGCTTTCTCTCTTTTTAAAACCAAATATATATCTATTTTATTTTAAGTGCAAAAATATTTGGGGATTTCATGCAACGCGAACAGACTTGAAACGAAATTACGACAAATTACGACTGATTGCAATTTGTAAGCGCAAGCGCGATCGGAACTGGAACTATTGAGAATGCGCAGTGTGCTTGTAGGCCGCAGGCGCGATTTTTCGAAATTGAAAATTTCACAATATTTCTCAATTGTAATACATTGTAATAAATCATAATAATGGAATCAATAAATTTGGAATGTGCTAGTGTACTATAAAACAAAACAAAAATAGAAACAATATATTTTTAAATTGAATGAAATTTATAATTATAATACAAATTTGTATCATATTTGGATAATTAATAAGTAATTATCCTAATTTTATGTCTTTTTTAATTTTTGACAAAGTTATTGACTATTTGAGAAAAATTGCAATCTTTCATTAAAATTTTTATAAAATTTATCCATATTTGAATAGTATAATAGGATATTACTTGTATATTTAGATACTACTGCAAATATTGAATTCATCTTACTTTTACAAATGGAAAAGTATTATTAATGCACTAGTGGCCTTTTAATTTTCTACCATTACAGATGATATTTCATTGGCGTGTTGTATATAATATATATTACATATATTTTTAACTACAAACAAGATAAAATATACACTTTATAAATAAAAGAATTCATATTTTAAAAAGAAAATAAATATAGGAGATGCAATTATAAAAAAATAAATTTTAAACTTATTTACTAATTATTGCATGTCCTATGTATTATATCATTAATTAATAAAAAAAATTATTTTTATGAAATATACCTTCAGCAATTTAACGTTGCTTAAATGGTGTAGATATTACTACAGATTTAAACAATTTAATTATTCAGCAAACGAAACTTGTTTATATGCTTGTTATCAGAAGACACTAGAACTATCTTAGAATATTTTTGTAATATTTTTGAATAGCGGGTGTAGATTCAATGATACAAAAAGTTTATAATCAGCGATAAAATTAAATGCACTTTATTGTCGTTTCTCAAACGTACTATTTGAGAACAAAGTAAAACTCAGCGGCTAGGATAGATATAGATGTATTTTACAAATTTAACACATTCGAGAACGCACAACGCCGTCGTCGCCCGAATGCATTAAGCTAAGGGCTTAATTCTATCTCGAGGTACAGCGAAAGAGGGTTCGTCAATGCGTGCGGATGATGAAGTGCATTATGTCGCGATGGAATGATAACGTGCGTGAGCGAACGAGGCTACGCATGCCGTTCGCGAATTAACTAAAGCGCTTCAGATCGTTGTATCCCTAACTCTCCCAACGAATCTTTTCATCTTAACTGCTAATAAGTACGGGCCTAGGTGGTTTTGTCTCTGATCAATCGTCTTTTCTTCTTTATTCAATTTATCTTGAAAAATTGCTCTTATGAAAAAAGCTCTAAAATTTCTATATATGATTGTAAATACGTTGCTTTTATTGCTTTTGCATTGGTCATTTATTCGTTGTTACGTTTGGATTTGGATAGTTTTAATGTCTACAATGGATAATCTTTATTCAATTACTTAAAAAAAGTCTATTTTATTATATACCAAAAGAAATACGAAGGAAAGAATGGTTAATCAGAAACACTCCTCGTGCGATACAACTGTGAATGATGTATTACGAATGTCATAAATGTTGAGCGTATGTTGTGAGCGGAAGAGCACCATAACAGAACTCCTAACAGAGCACCATAACATTACTCCTCTTAAGCCTTCCGAATTTTAACATTTTCGACAACATAACATAATGTCCGTGATATGTGCCGTTTGAATCTTGTTCATTTTAAATGAAATAATTCTGAAATCTCAAATTATAACTTGACATTTTTTAAAGTTGAGTTACACGTTCACGCAGTCTGCCTTGCTGGCGGAAGTCGAACCGGCCGAAGAGGACGAAGCGACGGAATGTCTCCTGAGATAACCGGCAAATAATTGCCGTGCCTGATTCAGTACACGGATCACATTGTGACGGCGAACCATCTTGTCGAAATGCATTGCCATCTCGTTATAATCCATTTGATTGCGCATAACAAAATCCCGATGTTGCAGCAGAAGAGTGATGCACAGGAACATTAGAAAGGGATTGCCGCCACCAAATTCGTGCGGTGGCGGCAACGAGTTTTCGCCCAGTTGGTCCTCGCTTGTTCCCGCAGGTATAAGATTAGTCAGCTCTGTCACTTCTTCGCATTGCTCTTGTACAGATTGTTGTTGTTGTTGCTGTTGCTGTTGCTGTTGCTGTTGCTGCAGCTGCTGCTGCTGTTTTGTTGGACTTTCTGGTATAGGTGGGTTCTGATGCCAACTCTCGGTTCCTTCGCTATCTGACGCCGATTCAGATCTGAAAGATAAACAAAGCGTTTCAATAAAAATAATGTAAAGAAACACATTTTCCTATAATTGGGTAATGATTTCTTTGAAATTTTTTAAAAATGCCGATAGAGTCTTTAACCCTGCATATTTATGGAGAGATATGAATTATTCTGTTATAGTTACAATAATAGGATTTTATCATGTATTTATTACTTCAGTGAAATATAAAGGAGACACATATAAATATAAAATGAATAAAGATATTTTCCATCAATACTTTGAAAGCATTATATTAAAAAAAGTAAAGATAAGTAAAATTTATTAGAAAATAAAATCTCTGAGACTTTTAATTTAGAAATTTTTCTCCGAGCAACTAAACTTTTAACAGAAAATTTGTAAATTCTTATAAATTTTGCTCTCATTAAGATTTCCAAATCTATAAATCTTTGTAAATAAAAATGTGTACCTACCTAGTAGTACGTTTGAGCAGCCTAATCGGTGTAACGGATTTCACGCCATTCTGATCCTCCAAAATTTCACCGTCGTATTCCAATTCCGCCTGCTCGTCTGGAGTCGTGGGGTGATGCTTCTGTTGTAACGTGTGTAAAGGATTTTCCCATACAAACACATCCGCTGCTGGACTGCATCTCGCCAATTCTGTCTCTGTCTCACTCTCCGGTAAATCACTTTCTCTTTTTGAAAGCACACAGTCGCATTGTAGCTCACTAGGCGGTGAAGGTCCAAATACTTGTCGATCTAACGATTCCAATTCTAGTCTTAATTCTCTAGTCATCGACGTAGTCATCGGGAAAAAATCCGTGGGATCATCTGGCGAGCTCGGTTCATCCCTCAACACTCTGATGACGCCGCTTTCGCTCGAGACACGTCTATGGTGATAAAGTATAATTTTGAATCACTTTAATTTTATGACGTACAGGCAAGAATATCTTGAGCTACAAGTAAATATTTTCTACGAAAGTAATTACCTGAGTTCAGGTTCGGCGTCGCTGGGCGTGACTTTACTACGATTGAGACTGGTAAAGTTTAAGAACTCATTTAAATTCTTTACCACTCGCGCACATTTCTTTTCACCAGAACTATCATTCTGTTCACTGTTTTTAGTCTGTTCTTTGTTAGGAGTACTCAGTCTTTCTTTCAATTCCAAAAGATTTGCGCGTTTCGATTTAACTGGAAGAGAATCAGTACTTAGGCACTTTTCTGTCGATTCATTATTCCTTCTATTTTTCGTGCTGGTTAAATCATTTTCTGAATCAGAGAATGCTTCATACGGTGAGTTGGATCTGAA